TACAGGGTATTGACCTTGAACATGGTTATCTTTGTGGCACCATGGAAGCTCTAAACGTTCCCATGGCAGACACTCCTGTAAGCCCTTACACTCTTACTCATTTTTTCTTCATATTGCTTCCCCTTGAATTTCTAATAGGGGACACGATTCTTGATTCTGTGAGTGTCAGGTCATAACATTCTGGGAAGGGGAAATCGTTGATGGAAAGAATTATACCTTTTACACCGGAAAATGGGAAGCAACGTATGTCCCAATTCCTATATTCTTGTAGATTTGAAACTGATGATTTCTTATCGTGAATAAATTTTTGAAAGTTTGTTTGTCACAGGAGGGAAGATGATATGAGACATTGGTCAAAGTTCCCGTCTTTTTCGCCTCTTCAGGTAACACTCGAGTAACATTGTTTGTATAGTCAGTAACATCTCCTAAGCAACGTTCTGGACTTAATACTGCAGGGACAAGTTGAATCTGATGGTGGCAGGCAATTGGATCTTAACAATTATCCTTATATATTTATGGTATAACTCTCAGTTTTTCCTATCGAATCCAATCATCATTTTCTCTCAAGTATTCCATAATTCCTGCAACTCGGGTTTATTTTTGTGGTGGTGCAGAGATGGAAAGAGCAATACTTTGTAAACGTTGGCACAGATTGTGGACTAACAATAGCTGGATTTTACTACGTATGCTTCTCCTGCAGCGATGGTTCCATCAGCGGTTTCTATTATGATCCAAACAGCAGGTTAGTCCAAGATACAAACTATATAATCTGTTGTTGTTTGAGATAAAACCTGATGATATTTTGTTTTTGGACAGTCCGTTTCAGAAGCTGGAGCTGAAAACAGTTAACGAAGGAAGATCTGGTTTCAGCTTTTCTTCTTACGAGTTGCAATGATGAATGCTACCAAAATCATCAGACAGCGCCATATGATACTCTCGTCTAAACATGCGATGCACGTGATCCAGTACATTATGACGTGTCAATTATTATAAATTATTAGTAAGATATTTTTTTGCTTAGCTAGTAGACCAGACCAAGTAAAGAACTAAAAATACTATTTTGTCATTATGGTACCAAGCTAATAGTTTATCTGGAAAAAGAACAAATTGTCCAAAAAAATAATTACCAAATAGTTGAGAAGTTTTTCTAAAAATTTTTGTAAAAAAAATCCAAATTCTTCTAAAATTAAGTTTTTAATAGAAATTTAAAAAGACAGTTCTACATCATATTATTTTCTTTAAATAATGATATAAAATTTATAAACTATTATCTTTGTAAGATAATGAATATTTGTACCTATGTAAGGGAAAAATTGATAAATATTTATACATCCTCATCCAAAAGCCCATAAAATCGTTATGGGACAATAGTAAAAAAGATTGCAAAATCGTATGGAGCGAAAGATAAAAATAAAAAACGGTCCCGTGTAAGAAGATGGGTCACCTCGCCAACACGTAGACTCTTTTCACGCGCCAAATCAAACACCATGTCGACGAGATCAACGGATTCAAATGTTTCGTGTAACACACGCTCCAACGTAGCGCGTCGTACACTTGATGCTTAATTTATGTATTTTAAGTTACGCAGTTTCCAGATTTTCAGACCCTCTGAAAGTGGAAAGAGCATTTTTTAAAAGAGTAATAAGAAAAACAATTATCTTTGAACTCTCTCTATCTCTCTCTCTCTCTCTGCGATCTATGCCTGAAGTGGAAGTGGATAACAACAACGAGAAGCCATCTGAGATTAACAGGTTTCAGTTTCTCAATCTATTCCTATATATTATCATTAGAGATCAAATTTCTTATTATGCTTCTTCTCAGTTTCTTTAAGATACAGAGGATTGACTGATTATGTATGTATTCATGTCAATGGTTGACCAAAAATCATAGCTGCAGAGGATGATTGAAGTTTTATCTTGATTTTAGCTTATTTAATCGTTGAGATTAAGAAAGTTTTCCTGTTATTCTTTCCTAAACCCTTATTAAGTTCAAGATTAATAAAGTCAATTTCATATATTTGGTGATTAAGATCCATCCACTATCTTAATATGTGTTGTTCTTTTTTTTTGCAGTTTCCATCACATGATCATAAGTAGTAGTAAAAATGTGTTGAAAATGGAAGAAGTTGAGGTGAGCAAGAAGAGGAAATTTCAGACAGATCAATCTGATGAGTTATCGTTATTACCTCTGTCAAAACACACTTGTTTTGCCAATGTTGCTTGTTCAGAGAATACAAATGGTAACTCGGAGATTGATACAGAGTATTCAATGTCTTCTTATGTGAACTCAACAACTTCTATGGAGTGTAACAATGATATAGAGATGAAAGAGGAATCATCTGGATCATGCGGTGAAGACAAGATGATCTCTTTCGAAAGCCATCTAGATTACATCTATGGGACTCAGAACTTAGAGGATTTTTCAGAGAAAGTCATTGAAAACATTCTCTATCTCGATGAACAAGAAGAAGAAGAGGAAGATGCTAAAGGATGTAGTAGTAATGCTGCTAAGTTTGTTCTGTCCTCTGGAAGATGGACTGTTAACCAAGGTAAAGAAAACCGGATTTTGGTTTGACCGTATTGATTCAATGAACCGGGGATTCACTAACTTGGTTTTCATGTGTACAGATGATTCTACTCTACATGAGACAAAGAAGCCTACCATTGATCAAGAATTTGAACAATACTTCTCAACGCTAATGCTGTAACAAAATGATGTTGAGACTCAAAACATATATGAAGAGATGTATGTACATAGAACTGTACTCGTTCTGTTTTGATTCTTGTCAACCTTAAAAAAACGTTCAATTCAAAGTGATTAGAGAGCTTCTTTGAAATGTTTGCAACTCTAGTCTTCAACTTTTAAGATTTTTATTAGCTTGCAAAACTAATCTTGCTTATATATCTTGTTCTGCCTGGATCAGAAATAAAAGTTAGTATAAAAAAAATCTGAGATGATTATGACACTCTGATCCTTCATATGAACCAATCTTGTGTTCAAGAGTATCCCTGATGTATTTCAGTACCAACTTAACTGAGAAATGAGAGTCAATGTTCTTTAATAAGTTTGTTCAGATGATATCTTCTTCTTCTTTTTTTGGTTGGTCACCTATATTCAATCTGCTCTCTCCAAATTATCTCCAATACACTCTCTTCTGAACATAATACAAAAATTCATAACTTTTTCTTATTATGGTCAAAAGTCTTGTTAATATTCAACTTGTTCCTTTCTAATGTAAAATCTAAACTGATTTAATAAAGAAAAAGATGATAGCTTATTGATATTCTTCCTAGTAAAACATTTTGGCATGATGGTCAAGACTCAAGATTTGCTAGAATGTGGTTCCCTCGCATTATCAGTCTTCTTGGTCAATGTCTAGTAGTTTTAAATTCGCTATAAAAATAGCAAAAAAACAAAAACAAAAAATTGTTGATTAAAAAGAAATTAACACCAAACTTTAAAAATAGTTATCCTTAGTAATTTTATGTAAGTATCTTTAACACGTAAAGTCGAACATAGTATATGATTTTGTTCACACTAATAGTCGAACAAAACGTAAATTAAGGTTTGAATTATAACGAAAGCAAAACATGCTTCCACGACCTTTGGTTTTGACTTAAGATCTTAATTAACATCATCAAACATTTTTATTAGTTATGGACTTATGGTAATGAAATTGAACGTGAAGAGATCGATGTGTCTTACAAAAAGACAAAACACGTCTTCAACACTTTCCTCCATAATTCCCGATTTGCCCATCATTCCATAACGGTGCCTCTGAATCATCAATGATCGGCCAAATTTTCTGATTTCAGATTTCAATCACCATTTTCAAATTCGGTGGAGCTAGTTGGTAGATGATGGAAGATGGAAACAAATTGGATCGGAAGAAGACAATGACGATGAACTGGGAAGGATTAGGAGATTTTGAAGATGAAGATGATGATAGATTCTTCGAAACTCATGATCGTCTCTCTTCTGCTTTAACTTTCGACATGGCTAATGCTTCTTCTTCCGATGAAGATGAAGATTTCGACGATTGTCGACTCTCGTTTTCTTCAGCCGTCTCTTCCTTAACCACCGCCTCTAGGAAATTTCGTACGCCGGCGATGTCTCCTGATTACGATATTTGGATGGCTGCTCCGGGATCGATATCTGAGCGTCGTCGTCGTCTTCTCCATGGGATGGGACTTGCTAGTAATAAAGATATGGTTAGTGCTGTTTCCATTCGTCGCGTTGTTTCTAATGCGCCTGTTGTTAGTAACGGTGAAGAAAAGAAGATGAAGAAGAAGATGAATCATGAGGTTGATGAACAAGATCATGATCATGTTCCGGTTATGCTTGCGAGGTCAAGATCGGAATCAGATATTGAGAGGTTCTTGATTGAGAAACGAAGAAAAGAAGAGATTTTAGGGAAAATCTCAAAGCAGCGTCTTACAAGAACGTATTCTACTATTTGTCCTACAAGGACAAGGATTTGTCAGTACCAAACTCCGATCAGACAAACACCTGCGGTTTGTGGAAATGGAAAAGCTTTGCGCGGTGGTGGAGAGGCGTTGACATCGGTAATGTCGAATGCGAGGGTTGGCGCGTTTTTCTTGATAAAGAA